TTTCCCCCGTGGCAGCGCCGCCCCGCAGCGGCGGCTGACTCTCACCCGTGCCGCAGAGCCAGTTTCACAAATCCCTTCCGGTTTTTCAGCGTCACAGAGTTCTTCCCCGGGGTGCAGTTCAGGGACTCCGCTGCCCCTCCGACCACGATGACGATGGCGTTGCCGCTGCCGTTCTTGGACAAGATGTAGTCTATGCTGTCGCGGTTCACAGGACATATACCTGCACACCCAAGGGACAGACAGACACAGGGGTCAAGCTGTGAGGTTAAGACGATCCTGAAGACACCGGCCACACTTGCAGCCAAAGTTGGTGCCTTGGTTGCAAGCCGGGCTGTCCAGCTTCCCCGTGGTCGCGGGGGGTTGGGTGTATCATCGCGCAAACCCTTCCCCAACTAAACAAGCACTCAATAGGCCCGGGCACCACTGGGCTTGGTCCTAAACTCCAAGCCCAGCTCTCAGAAAGTCGCCCTTAACACAACACACTTCAGCAAGGATTTTCTTCTGCCCTCCGTGATGCCTTTGGCACCACGATGTTTAAAACATCCGCCAGTAAACCCGGCAGTAGGAGCTGGTTTGCCCTCGGGGGCGGGGGAAGCAAAGCAGTTGTGCTCTGTTCATGCACCAGAGTCTGAATTTGACCAGTTCCTCAGCAAAACCAAGTCGTGGAACTGGTCGTCCTTCGGGAGGACGCTTTAGTGGCACAAAGAAGGACGGATCTCCCTCAGAAAGGCTTGGCCTGAGACAGACTCGTTATGAATTACTTTTAAAAATGACTTTTTTTTTTTTTTCTCCTGAAATAACATCAAGCTCTTGCACGGCAAGAGCACAATCCTTTTGCGTCCTGGGAAGGAAGGGGTGTACGGGACAGAGGGCTCAGAGTCCATACTCCGAGACAAGTGTCTGGGAAGGTCTTTCCCTCTGCCCGACACGGGAAGGGACAGGACTGCACGACCAGTCACAGCACTGCAGCTTGACAAAGCAATCCCTGCCCTGAAGCACCGGTCCCCACTCCAGGGACACAACCATCCAGCCCAGTGAAAGGGGGCACCTTTAACTTCCACCTTATTGCTTTAAAAAACCCCAACAAAACCAAAAAAGCTTAATTCTCTACTCCCTAATCTCACGCTTTCATCCCACAACTATTGCCAGGGCTTGCTCACGCCTCACCCTTTTGGCCAGGAGAAGCCAAGGAGAAGCACGAAGCCGCCATCGTTTACAGTCCCACCCTCACAACGTGCCTGAGCCGCGGCGAGTACCGCAGGTCGTTGCACTGGGACGGGCAGCATCACACCACTTGCTTTTAGAAGCTGAGGCTGCACATCTCCTGGGGTGGGTCCCGGGGAGCTCTACAGGGCAGGGCTGCCAGCCTTCACGTGTGTCTGGGCACCCGGGTCACCGCCTGATCCCGGGCTGCAGGGGAGCAGACCTCACTCGAGACAGACCAGCTGGATTTGAAGATGAAAACCCCGTCTCCTCCAGCACGGCGACGCCTCTCTGACCACGTTTTCTTTGCAAAGCTCAGGCTATGGCTGTTTCTTTGCAAAGCTCAGGCTACGGCTGCTGCTCTGCGGGGCAGAGAAGCCTTCGTACCTCTCCCGCTCCCCACACCAAGGCTCGCTCTGGGCCCACGGCCCTGGCGAACAGGGCAGCAGGATTTACGCTCAGCCATTCCACACCTGTTTGCAGCGGGAGACGGCGCCCGCTCACGGCACTGAGCACCGAAATCCTTCCTCCAGCAAACGCAGCAGCACACGCAGACGAGTGGCAACTGCTGAGTTGTGCTCTCCAGCACACTTACACAGCATGTAGGGTTTTCTGGCCACCTCCTCCCACCTTAGAGGATCCCTGCTGTAGCTCTGGTCTCTGGTGGGCTACAAAACATTGCAACAGGCGGTCGTAAACCACCCGAGGGCGTGTGTTGGCACAGGAATGTTTGTTAGGATTTCACTTGAAGGGGTTCATCCACAAAGCAAAGGATCAAGGGAATTATTAGCACATCCCAAGTGACGAAGTCTTTCCCACGAAAGACTTGTCCAAGCCTTTGCAGTGACACCCTTAAGTTCCAGTACAGAAGTGAAGAGCAATGGTGGCCTCCAGAAAGTGAACTTTCTCCAAGAGATCACACCGATGGTCTTGCTCAAACCCCAAGGGCAGAGGAAGCAGAGCTTCCCGGTTTCACCACAGTGCTCAGCGACAGCCAAGCCAGCCCTGCCAGCAACGATGTCATGAACGTCTGCTCCCGCTTTCCTTCCAAAAAGGAGAGAAGCGGCTCTGGCCGGCGACAAGATTTGTCTGCCAGTCATCTTGAGCAGCTTGAACGTGTGTTTTTAAAGCCACCGAGTCACAGAGTGTGGGAAGGGACCTCTGGAGATCACCCAGTCCAACCCCCCTGCCAGAGCAGGACCACCCAGAGCAGGTCACCCAGGAACGCGTCCAGGCGGGTTTGAATGTCTCCAGAGAAGGAGACCCCACCACCTCTCTGGGCAGCCTGTGCCAGGGCTCTGCCACCCTCCCAGGGAAACAGTTTTTCCTCATGTCCATGTGGAACCTCCCGTGCTCCAGCTGGCACCCGCTGCCCCTTGTCCTGTCACCGGCCATCACCGAGAAGAGCCCGGCTCCATCCTCCTGACACTCGCCCGTTACGTGTTGATAACCAGTGGTGAGGTCACCCCTCAGCCTCCTCTTCTCCAAGCTCAAGAGAGGCTGATGCTGTGCGGACACTTGAGCAACACATGAACTAAGTTTACAGGCACAGATGGAAAGCAGATCCCAACTTCTCGTGCGCTGCCATCCTGTGGAATTCCCAAATTATGGGAATTAGGGACTTTGCACAGCAACGTCCATCGGGTGCAGAGGACAGAAACCAGCTTGCCATCCTGCCCTGCCCAGGCAGGGACAAACACCTTTCCTGTACCAGATCCGTTTTCCTCTCCCTCACCAAATTAAGGCAGCAATCTCGTAAGCAGTCCAACCTAGCACGTCAGCGCCAAGTACAGCTACTCCTGTCCTCTCCCCAGCCACAAGTCAAGATGCAGCCAAAATACTACAGTAAGATACCGGTTTTAAAGTCATTTTTTGGTGAATTTGTTCCAGGAACAGCTAACAGGGCACTGGACTGTTCAGTCTCTAGGCGTTACCCCCTCATCTCTGCCGAACCAAGAGGCATCCTTACTCTGAAAAGGGAGCTGAGGCCACACAAGAGCACTGTTTCTTGAGGTTGTCAACGCTGCTTCCTCTGCCCAGGCAGGGCCTACAAACCCTCCACCCTGCAAAAACACTGGCATCCGTCAGAACTGACCTACTCATGTCATTCAACAAACACACCACTGCCCAGTCCCCGCGC